GATGGAGAGGAGAGGAAGTAATCTGAAGTAAGAAGTGATGAGGAGAAGGTAGGAGTGAAGGATGAAGAGAAAAGTGGGTGAGACGAGAAAGAAGGAAGCTACTCTCCAACCATGCCCTCCCTCAGAAAGAGTACTGGAGTGCAGAGAGGGAGAAGGTTAAAGTGAGGGGTGGAGTGAAGGAGTAAGGATGAAGGATGGTTATTAAGAAGCACAATAAAAAGGACATAGAACACATGACATTTAGAAAATTCGAACTCAACAAAGAGCAGAGCAGATAACACATTCTCCACACCAAAGTCATGAGATTTCATCAGACTCCATTTTTCCACCACCAATTTGTTGCTCATTATTGAAGTGCCTCAGGATGGGTGCATTTACAAAAATCTTACTGTAGAGCTGAAACCATCTTGCCACCACTGCATGAAAGTTAACAAAGATGCTTTCGGAGCTAAGATGCTGTGAACGGGACGCTGTTCACTGGGAACATTTAGCTTTCTGGCTAACCGGGCTGAGGTGGATGAGTGTGTTAGTAAAGATTAATGACGAGTCCCAGAGGCCTCAGTGTGGCTGCTTCAGTGGAAAAACACAACAAATATTCATATGTTGTCACAATCCGGCTCTGCTCCTACCTGATCTCTCTGGTGTTTTTACACTCACCTCTCTGCCACACCTCCTCACCAGCCTCACCGTCCCCACCTGTTGCTCCCAGCTGCACTCCATCTCCAATTAAGCCAGTATTTAATCAGCCTTGGTCCACTCACTCACTCACTGCCAGATTGTTCTCTGTATCCATGCTAGACTTTCCAGCGTTCATCTCCGGACTGACCCGGTATCGACTCTGCTCGTCCCTGCCCCGGTAAACGCCTCAGCCTTCTGTCCCCGACCGCGAGTTCTGCCTCTGCACTTCCTGGTCCCTGTGGCTGGTTCGTCCGCCTGCTGACTGCTCACCTGGTTCTGATCCTCCTGCTCCCTAACGGTACCGTTGCTTGCCTTCCAACTTTCGTGTGTGTGTGTGTGTGTGTGTGTTTGTGTGTTTGTGTGTGTGTCCGCCCGCCCACCCCATTCTTGTGAACGTAATATCTCACTAACACTAATTAGATTTTGGTGGTCAAAGGTCAATGTCACAGTGACCTCACAAAACATCAAAATAACTTGTTTCTTTTTCTTTTTTCTTTTCTATATTTTGTTTATTAGCTACCCAAATGACACAAAGTCACAGTAAAATTAAACATCCATCCATCATCCGAACTGCTTATCCTTATAGGGTTGGGAGGGGGCTGGAGCCAATCCCAGCTGACATTGGGTGAGGGCAGGGTACACCCTGGACAGGTCAGCCAGTCTATCACAGGGCTGACATATAGACACAAACAACCAACTTGACCTAAAATTGAATGATAAAACTTAATAAAGATAACTTTAGATATTGAGTTATACATATAAGTTGTGGTGATTATAGACAAGAATCAAAATAAGTTGAGTAATATGCACAAGCAAAAATACAAATGATGAAAAACAATTGCATACAAGGAAGTATAAGTGCACATACAGGTGTAAACTGACTATATAAATCCTGTTAACATGGATATCAATGTGTTGAAGACTGTAACCAGAAATTGTCTACAGAAAAAAACACAACAATCCTGCTTATTTCAATCAAATCAATAATTTATTCAGTATAGACAGAAGCATCAACAATATCTGATTCTACAATCCTCAATTCTAAAACAAAATTACAAGTTCCGAGCTCGACTCTGTCCACTTTTAGAGTAATGTGTCTGTAGAGATTTTGTCCTTTTGCTTTGAGGAAAGAAAGGCGTCTTATATTGTAAACATTTTTTGTTGACCACTGTGTCTCATTCCAGAATTAGATTCATTCATCTGCATTTACAGTGTGTGACTGGTTAGGGCTAAGGTTTCATTTGAAAAGCAGGCTTGTGATTTTTTAAAGGGCCACTCCAGTGATTTTACACAGTACGGATGGGAACTTCTCGCCCTGTGAAAACAGTTGTGTAATGTAGCTTTTGCTCAGAGGGAAGCTCTCTGAAGTTTGTTAAATAGAGAGTGGATACCTGACGGGACCTGACAGGTTGGAAGGAGTTTGGACAATAATTTTGAAATGATGTTCGGCTTTGGTCCTGTCAGCCACGGGTCATCAGGGCAAACATTTGGGCATGGGTATGTATGGAAGGACAATACTAAATCACTGGAGTACACCTTTAAGGTAACTTTGTTTTTTGTTATGTAGCATTTTGAGATGGGACCCTTCAATAGTACATATTTAGTACGTACACAACACACATAAAGTATGTACAGTAAACCTATACTTCATGCCACTTCCTATTTTAGATATTTGTCAGTGAGCCGTGGGAACTGAATAAAGACCAGGCCAGTTTACTTCAGAGTTATGGTTGTATTGAAATATATATCATTAAGTAAAGAGACAGTGACAAAAGAGTTTTATTGCGTTCATGAGATTTTGTAGAAAAGGGACACAGTGAGGTTTTGGAATGTCCTGGAGCGAGCGACAAACACTTCAGAGATCCAAATATAGCTGCCGGACAAAAATCTGCTTAAGCCACTTTAAAAACTAGAGCTAAAAACTGAGTGACTGAAAGTGTCTTCTCTAATACTGAAATGCTAATAACAACTGGTCTGTTAGTGTCAGTTATTTGTCAGTGCTTGTATTTGCTGAACACCAATTTTTTTTTGCCAAGTATCGTTCAACGATTCATTGTACATCAAAAGTATTTTGTTAGCTGCCACAATAAAAGATCTGAGTACAAACAAGCTGCTAGAGGAGCTTTCTGCAGTTGGCACCATGGACAGTGCCACACGTACGGTGGCCTGAGAGTGCAAAATACAACACTAGAAAAAGCAAAAGACAGTATACATGTCTTTACTGACATTCTTAAAGTTATCACTAATGTGTTACATACCGCAAATACTAGGCAAGAATCTCATACCTACTATATCAGTATCTATTATATCACTGTGTATCTAGATGCTATCTACAAACTGTGTACAACTGAGTTAATAAATACAACGAAGAGGTTTTATTTTAAATTATATATACTACAAAATAAAAAGTGCAAATTGGGTGTATTAGGTGTTGAACAGAATTACCTGTTCTTACGAAATACAGTGCTGTAATAAAACCAAGCTTCTGTGTGTGTGAGTGTGTGTATGTGTGTGTGAGACACTGGGTAATACTTGCTGTGTTCATGACCAGTGTGCGACTGGGAACTGATCTGACTGATTTTCTCTTTATATATTTGTTCTTAGCCTGTAAGTCGCTTCATAATGTCAGCATCAACTATTCCACACCTAATAGACAGTTTTGTTTCAGCAAGTAGATGTTTGACCGCCTCATGATGCCCGACAGTCTGACTGGTGTGACTGACTGCTCCAGCAGCTACTAGAAACAGTTAATACTAACATGTGGAGGTGCAGCAACAAGTGTCATGTATGGAGATATTTTGAGATATTTTAGTCGTTAACTTTATATTAACAACATGTTTTCTAAATGTTATTGTTTGCAAATTGCGACAGCTGGCATCTGTTGTAGCATAGCTCCACACACAACGTCGACAAAGGCTAATGTTAGCTTGTTTAGGCTAACATGGCGACAGCTCATAACATGAGTTGGGTGTTCACAACATTAGCAGGCTACAGTCATTACTGTTCAGTCCGTCAGAATTTAACACTGACTTTTATCTTTCAGAAAGTGACGAGACAGGCCATTGCTATCTGGTTAGCGTGCTAACGAACGAGTTTGATGCTGAGCTTACAACGCTTCTTCTAGACTGGTAAGTAAAAGGCTGTTAATGCTAATGCTGGCTAAGCCAAATTTCTAATAAGGGTATGGTGACATCCTTAGATGCCTGAGAGTGTGTGTGTGTAACTATATTAAATAAAAAACAAGAAAGGCAACCTACTCTCTCAACACTGACAGAGCAGAGGGACTGTGAGGTTTGCTCGTCGTCGTTGGCACTCGATCACACTTAGTTTTAAGTATAACACTATCCAATAAATAAATAATTTGACATGAGGAAATCTGTGGCCTTACACAGCAACAGAAGTGTTGCATATGCTGGATTTAATAGTACTGTGTTGAAGCGAGTGCTACTTACAACTGAAAATGTTAGTCAAATGATCGATTACAAAAAAAAAATGCATTAATGACAATAATAGAAATGGCTTACCTTTTTCATGTCATATTATTGTAAACTGAATAGACATTTGTTTGGCTTCTATGTTTATATATCGCAATATTTTTTTTATAATTTTATAGGTTAAACATTTTGTCAGCTAAATTTTACCACCCTTCATAGCTTGTAGATTTAGTGTAACCATCAGTAGTGTTCACTCTCATGAAATGTAAACAATTACAGTCTGCTGATGATCATCAGTAATGGCACAAATAATTTAAAAACATACAAAAAACTTTGCTCTAAAATCCATGCACAAAGAGGACCACACACACAGACACACGCACACCTTGATATGTCCAGGTAAAATCTGTGAATTTCTGACATTCAGGACCTCATTGATCTGCTCCACCCTGTCGCTCATCTGTTTTCTCTCAGATTCCCTCCTCTCTGTTCTGAATAATACATACTGTGTAATAATGGATGTAGTATTTACACACTTTCAAGAAGATATTCTGCACACTATCCAGCAAAGCTGTTACTTAAAGGTCCCACACTGTATGAAGGATTATTTCCATGTCTTTTTTGATTATAAAGCAGGTCTAGTTTCTATATTAAAACTGTGAAAATATCAAAGCCCACAAAGAAATGCACACAGCTGTATTCAGAAACTGAACCTTAAAAGGAGCCGTCAGGACTTCTGTAACTTTGATGTAACAACAAAGCAGCCCAGGCCCCGCCCACCTGGATCCACCAATCACTCAGAAAACAGTCAGCCAATCATTGACCTGTTTTTACTAGAGCTCCAGAGAGAAACCTGAGAAAGCAGATGTAAAACTACACTGTGATGGTTTTAGTTCTTAAAACCACAAATATATCTTATGGATCAACAAATAAAACACATCAAAGGTGTAAAATACGGGACCTTCAATCAGGAAAAAGTGTTCTGATGCTAAGATAATGCTAAAGGGCAGATTGAATCTCAGTGGAAATGTGTCAAAATCTAAATATCAACATCCATTATTTACACAGTGGTATATTTTCAGTGCCTTTGTTGTCTTTCTTGTTCCTTACACTCCTTTCCTCCGCGGCCTCTTTCTAGAACACCCAGGTGACGGGGACCCACTGGGGGTTTTTGGAAACTGTTTCCAGGGCGGCTTTGACAGTGCGGTAGGTCTCATCCAGGTTGTCGTTAATGATGCTGAGATCGAAGTAGTGACCGTAGGCTGCCTGCATTTTAGCACTCTCGCTGCATGTCCTCTGCAGTTCTTCATCCTTAGACAGGAAAAAAACATGACTTTGAGTTTTGCATATTCTTATTCTGGTGTTTTCTCTTCATGAGCATGAGCATACAGTAAGTGTTTCTCACCGTCAGTGTTTTAGTAACCACCCCTGCGTCTACAGCTGAGTGGTTCATCGCCTTGAGCACCTCGAAGTCTGGAGACTGGAGGAAGACCACGTAGGGCAGGAACTCAGAGGTCCTCAGCACTTTGAGAGACTAGAAAGCAACAAGAACACACAAAGCTGTTAAAACGCTAAGGTTTCTTTGAGAACTTACATAGTTGGGTTTAGGTCAACTGACTGGCTGGGGATTCCTGAGTGGTGACAGTGAATGACTAACTTTGTACTTCAGTGTTACTTGATATGAGATGCCCTTGAGCAACGCACATGACGCCAGACTTACTGAATGGAGCTCCTTAGAGACCAGCGGTGACTGATTGCAATGCGTAAAATCGTGCAGATACAGGTCAGGTGCTTCAGTTAATGTTCACATTAAATATAGGATTGGTGAAAAAATGTGATCTCAGTGACGTTGATTGTGGCTCAACAGTTTAATCAGAATGGTTTGACAAACAAAAAACATCCAGTGAGCAGCAGCTCTGTGGACGGAAACGCTCTTGTTGAGGTCAGAGGAGAAAGGCCAGTCTGGTTCGAGCTGATAGAAAGGCTACGGTAACTCAGATAACCACTCTTTACAGCTGTGGTGAGCAGAGAAGCATCTCAGAACGAACAACACATCGAACCGTGAGGCGGATGGTTTACAACAGCAGAAGAACACACTGGGCCAAGGACAGAAATCTGAGGCTGCAGTGGACACAGACTCACCAACACCGGACAGGAAAATGCTCCACGTCACGAAGCTAAAGTCGTCTCAAACTGGTTTCATCAACACAACAGTGAGTTCAGTGAACTTCAGTGCCTTCTCATCAAACGTATATTTAGTTGATTCCATAATATAACGCGTGCGTGCGAGCGAGCGTGCGTGCGTGCGAGCGTGTGTGTGTACCTGAGGGTTGGCATCCAGTATGCAGATGCGTCCTGCCTCAACCACCTCATGGATCGAGTCGATCTTGATTCCGTAGAGACTGCCGTCGTACTCTCCGTGTTCGAGATAGCGACCATTCTTGATATCGGTGTCCATCTTGCTACGGCTGGTGAAGGCGTACATCCGACTTTCCCGTTCCCCTTTTTTGGGCTTTCTGGAGGTATCTGAACAGACACAAAAACACTAATAATAAAATATTTGCCAGTATGGCCTTTCTCAGCTTTTGTAGTTATGGGGTCGGATAGGGGCTGCCAGCATTTTTGAGATTTTCAAGTGGAACCACTGATGTGGCCTATTATCGAATATTGTACAAATACTACATGATTGTTCTGAATTGAAATACACATCCTGCTTTGCTTTAAGCAACACTGTATCAAAACTAAAGCACGCAAGTGATTTGGAGTAGCTGTATCTGGACAGTTTTTAAGTCTAAGGATTTCTCCAGGAAATTCCCTCTGATTTACATTTCCTATTTACTACAGACAACAGTAAATCCAAGGAAATAATGTCACACTTCAGTTCACGCTGCTGTGTCAGTAAGGTGCAGTGTAAAAAATTTAAATAAAAAAACAATTCAACCAAACAAAAATATCCCCCAAAAGGCAATTAATAAATAACACTGATTAATAAAATTAATAGAGCAATGGTTGTAGAAACAAACTTCTTTAACATCAGATTTCATACATGGGATGGTGGTGCCAAAGAGCTGAGGATCCTTCAGTAGAAGGTTGTTCTTCAGTCTCCGCCTCCCCACACCTTGGGCACCAATCAAAATCAGAGTTTTCCTCTTGAAAGGCGGGACCTTGGCCACCTCCTCGTAAAGCAGAATCTCATGTCTGTCAAACTCTGAGAGAGGAAGAAAGACAGGAAGGATTAAAGAAAAGAAAGAGGGAGGAACATAGGTGGAAGAGCAAAGAAAAAAAAAAAATGACTTCAGTGCAAATAAAATTTTACAGGGCTGGTTTTGTTACCTGCATTTTTGGTGGTCACATACATCATTTTCTTCTTCTTCTTCCCTCCAACACCAGTACAAAGATTTCCTGTCACATAAAAGCGGATTCACATTAGTTGTTGCAGAACACTCAAGTCGTGCTGGCACTAGCTGGTTGGCATCAGCGTCTTCATTCAAACTTAATTACCCTGGATTTACTGTTAGTCTTCAGTATACTAATGAATGGAGCAGTAGTACTCGCAGCAGAGTCCTCGTTGCTGTTTGCCTCTTGTAAGAGCTTCAATAAGAGAGCAGAGTCCCGTTCAGACCTGCATCTTCAGGGATCTGATCTCAACTCTAAGTATGTCAGGTCATGCCTGGCTTTAAAATGTGTCTCCACTTGTGATTGGATCTCACTTTCCCGCTTTATATGAAAATAAACAGGCGCTGTTGTTTATACCCAATCTGACAGACGGGTCTGTTGTCAGTGTGCTTGTGAATACAGGCTAAAACACAAACTATAACTTCACAGCAGGATTATTTGGGAGATTTTTGAAGTTAGACTTGTCTATAACCCTTGCATTTATTAGAGTTCTTCTTAGTGCTGGTATTTGATTTGAGGTACCAACTAAAAATTGACACATTTATTTGCAGACCTGGCCTTCACCACCAGATGGCAGTGTAAAACAGAAAATCCAATATCAATCATCAATATAATTTCTTTGTTTTCATTATTAATTATTTCCTGTTACCTGCTGGTGCCAGTTCCACATCTATCTTGACAAAAGCTTTTCTTTTCTCCTCCAGCATCTGACTGGGTATCAGCCCCGTGCTCCCACCCTCCACATGACGGGCCTGTGCAGCGCACACACAGATAATGATAATAGATTTGTGACAAAAACTAAAACGCATAGAATTTTAGTCCTAACAAATAATCAGCAAGCCAACACAAAATAAACTGATAAAGTGTACACATGCTGCTTCTGTACTCCACCTGCCACCAGTTGACATCATCCTGGTTGACTATCTGCAGGATGTCCCCTGTCTCAAACCTTAAGCCTGCCTCCTTACAGGGTATTAGGTTGTCATTGGCCGGGTCGTAGTCATAGTGACACTTGAAGAACACCTGGAGAAACAGAGCTGGGGTTGTTATCTCTTTTTCTTGCATAAAATTTCTGGCCGTTTTGTATTCTGTGTATACATACAAAATACAAAACAAGCTAAAAACAATCCAGCAATTAGCAGAACCTAGTATGACCGAGTATGACCATGTGAGTGTACAGTGTGTGATGTGTTTTATGTGGCACCTGTCTTGGTGGTATGGCTTCATGGTAGCTGGGCAGTATTTTCAAAACCACACTTCCACTGGTTGCCTGCAGCTCCTCCTGCAGCACCCTGGCGTCCCGGCCCACCTCTCGCCCATTCACCTGCAAGCACAGTGGACGAAAGAAAATTTCTGAAATGACATAAATAGCTACATTTGCGGCATCTTGAATGGAAAATGAAAATGGAAACATCAGAATAAAGAATGAAGGAGAAAGAAAAACAGAGGATCAGGCACAGAGCCTTGAGGTACTCCACTGTTAAGGGCACCTTTGACATAAGTGGAACTTTGTGGAGTGGTCCATAATTACGTAGGGCTGAATGGTCCACTTTAGGTTTCCTGAAAAGAGTTCCTTAAGTGGAAGTGCATGTGAGGTATATGACCAGCTGCCTCTAAACTCTTAACGATGGAAAAGCTAATTGGAGCGTCTTCACAGAGTCTAGCATAGATTGTACTTGGGTAAATTACATTAAAGAAATAGTTTGTTATTTTGGAGTATACACTCATTCACGCCCTCATTCACTCATTCAAGTTAGATGTCTGTATGCTAAATATGAATTCAGAGCCAACAGTATATACAGTTAGCTTAGCATAAAGGCTGAAAACATGGGGAAATACAGCTATCATGGCGCCGTCTGGAGATGCTGTTGCTTTATATTCATCATACAGACATGATTTGTTATCATCTGACTCTTGGCCAGAAAGCCAGAACTGGTTCCCAACTAGGATTCCGAGGCAAAACTGATCCTACCGTAAACCAAAAGAATGTAAGGGGTCAGTAAAGGTCATACTTACTTGATGGCCTACCTTACCTCTTTGATAATGTCTCCGACATGCAGCAGCCCTTGCTGGTCTATCATACCGCCATGGAGGATGCGGGCTATCACCAGCTCACCACCCTCCACCTTGAACGTCACCCCCTGAAACACAATTTATGTGTGTATGTAATCAATTATTGTATAATTAACTGTTTCTGTGATGATAAAATCAGCATCTACAGTAGTAACTAACAGAAAACTATACATTACATACACATTACATACTTCAGCTGGGCTCATGCTTTAATGTGACCTACCAGATGCTCCCCAGCCACTTTGCGTATGCCCACCATGCGGATTGCGTCAGGTGGCGGGTGCTGGTTGTTTGTGTGGCCGTCCTCCGGTTCATGATCCACAAAATCACATGGGCTTGGGGGCGGGCTATCACATGCCTGGGACGCCACTGAGTCATGAGTCTCCAGTAGAGACTGACAAAAAAAAAAATCACAGGCACAAAACATCAAAATATTATGTCACACTATTCTATTTGCCTTTTAAAAAACTGTGTGAAGACAAAAGGATTTCATTATTTTGTATTCAAAGGTACATAAAACCCCCCTTCACAGGTTCAAAGAGGCTAAGTGATGGTGTGATAAGCAAGTTATAGATATTTAACTATATTTGTCCACACCTGGAAATGAGGCTGTGTGAGAATGCGGGAAAGCTCAGCTGCAGTGCCAGAGCGGTGTGTGAAGGGGTCCAGATCTCGGAGGATCTCCTGCAGGAGCTCCACATTGTTCTCCCTCACCGGTGACAGATGTGGCTCCTTCAGGCTCTCCTCTTGCTCCTAACACAAACACACACACACAATTCATATACTACAACACACACAACAGCATGATGGAGATGCGTCTTTACAAATATGTGCACAATGAGCAAACAAGCCTGTATTTTTCTTTATATTTAACTGTGTGTGTGTATGAACCACACCAGAGGGCTCTCCATGATGCCTTTGAGGTAGATGAGGTCTAGGTCATTGGCCGTGGTGGAGCTGGTTGTGCTGTCGCTCATCATGTCCAATACCTGGGGCACTGTAACACAAAGAAAACACACACACACACAACACACACAACACACACACACACACACACACACACACACACACACACACACACACACACACACACACACACACACACACACACACACACACACAAACACACACACACACACACACACACACACACACACACACACACACACACAGAAGAGGGTCAGGGGGACAATAAAGAAAACAAGGAGCAATAAAAGAAACAAAAAAAATGACACTTTTGGCTGTTACTGCAGGGCTGCTGTAAAATGCATTTTCATGTCCTTGTACAGCCTGGAGACAGACATGCTGAAATGAGTTTCTTACTGGACTCAGACTATTTTACAGAAGCCAAGAAAGGCCATACTTGCAAACATTTTTTTATCCTGTTATCTCAAGATGACAAAGCTTATTGTCCCAAGATCTCGTTATCACGGGATAACAGAAAAACATTTTCTCCTGATAATAAGTATCTATCTCGGGATACCAAGCTTTGTTATCTTGAGATAACGGAATAAAAAAATATTTGCGAGGATTGGCCTTTTTATTTGAAGCTGCACTCTGATTATTTCAAAAATTAAGATTAGTTTTCTCATCATGTGAAGTTATGACTCAGCCTCTGAAAAGAGTTGTATAATGTTTTCTATGAGCTTTCTAACGCCTGTGTTGGATCCTTTAACTATTCCTCCCTTCCATTAGAAGACTACATTACATACGTTACCTTTACATTCATCCACCCCTTCAATAGTATTCACATGAAACAACATTAAATTACTTTAATGCACTTAAGTCAAACATTCTTGTACTTGAAGAGCCACTTTTAAAATTAAACAATAACATGAATAAAGAAAACATAGTGAACAGTCATATGGGGGTAGGCGCTAATGAGGAGGAGGCTGTCTGGTCTCACCAGGCTCTGTCCTGGTGGAGGCCACAGGCATGGTAGGGCCTCAGTCAATCTAAGAGAGAGAGAGAGAGACGGAGAGAGAGACAGAGAGAGAGAGAATGACAATGGCAAATGAAGAAAATAGTCCATTTTTTACAATGGAAAGTTGAAGTTGAAGACTGTGGTTGCAAAAAAAATCTCCAATGTAGAAGGAAACACAGTTAAGCCAGAGGGTTGTTCAAGGAGGTTAAAGGGATAGTTTAGCTTTTTTTCAATTTTTTTTTAGAAATACACGTATTTGCTTTCTTGCTGAGAGTTTACAGCAATCAAATACAATACCCCTCCTTTTCCCACCCACACACACACACACACACACACACACACACACACACACACACATCCATACCAAAAGAAGAGGAGAGATTGGCAGAGATAGAAAAATAAAGCGTGGAAGGGAGAGAGAAGGGGAGGGCCGGGCAATGTGGGCGTAACTAATCTATACATCGCCATGACAACAGACACACTACAATGTGGCAATTTGGAGAGAGAGAAGAACAAAGAGGCACACACCCCCTTTATCTATAAACTTCTGCAGCTTTAACTGTCTCAGTGTGGTGTTATAACAAAGCTGCTGCTACAAATCACGGCTGCCATGGAAACCTACCCTCGTTCAGATTTGCCCTCTCACACAAACAAACACACACACAGATCTCTGTTAATGCTAGAGTAGGCATTACACAACAGACTCGTGCAAGAGCAGGAAAGAGTGGAGGAGAAGATGACGTAGCAAGAAAAGCTGCAAAGACTTACACATGATTTACATTTTCATCGCTATCACCCACTATTCAGATTTTATGCAAGTTGACAGCAAACACAACAGGGAAACACAACAGTCCAGTTGTGTACACAGATGGGGAAAAAAATATTTTCTTTTCGGGATCAAAGTGACAGAGACGAGGTGATGTTTTCAAGCCATGATTCCCTGCACTCTGTTGACTCCACCCTGATTACATCATTACATGCACCTGCCGTTCCACCCACCTGCTGGTCATCACCAATCAAGCCCTCCTCTATATAACCTCAGATCTACTCACCATTCGTCACCATGTTCTTGTTTCAGCTACTTTGACAGCACCTCAACTCGGCCCCTTTGAGAAGTGTTCTAGTTTCTGCTTGTGTTGTGTGACTGTTACCGATCATGACTCGACTCTCTGTTTGCCTGAGGTCCATTCTCACACACCTGGCTGTTTCCTGGTCTACCTTGTGATCTGTCCTGACACTGTCCTCTGGTCTCCTGCTGTCAACCACCTGGGCTTCTTCACTCTCAACTCGCCTCTGCCTCCAGACCAACTGGACCTTTTGAACTTCCTCACCACCTACCAGTATTTGCATAAACTCTGTTGAAACCCGTTCAGTGAGCCTCTGTTTGTTTTCTGCACTTGGGTCGAGCATTTGTTGTCACATTATCAATATCTTCTTGAGAGTTATAGCCAATAGTTTACAGATGAAAATTATACAAGTCAGTGCTTTCCTCAAACACACCTTTGTACTGCAATTTTTTGTCACTTGACACTGACATCTGTGATTAGATTATACTGGTCAATAAATAAAATCTCAACAGTGATGGTTGACTAAAATTAAATCAGTTTTATTATCTATTAAATTCTGCAGATTCAGATTAATGCATAAAATGTATCAATGTCAACGGTGGAGGTGAAACTAATGGTAATGGCTAAGTGTACTTTTGAGTATATCAATCTGTATAACGCAACATGAGCCTGAAAAGTAGTGTAGTTCTATTTTTACTTAAGTTTGATTTACATAACACAACATTGTAGGGTTTTTTTTCCTGTGGACAGTAGCTGTTGCTCTGCTAACAGCTAATAGGGACCAAAATAAATAAACAAATAAAAAATTTGCTGTTGATAAATGAAATGCTGCAGATCAGCGGGAGAAAAAAGAGAACAGAAAAAAAAGCTTGTGCTCCATCTGCTCGCCTTGCCTCTCCACCTCACTCATCTTCGTCCCTCCATCCTTGTTTTACACTTCTTTCTTTCTCCCATGTTGCCCCATCCTCTCTCCCTTTATGCTTTGCTTACAGACCCCCCTCCCCCCCAATGGTCCCTCCTTCCCCTCCTCTGACATTCTCCCCTCCTTATCGCCAATACCCCACCCCCACCCACCCCTCCCATCACTGCCCCACCTCTGACGTCTCCCATCGTTATCCATCTGCTCTGCTGCGCCAGTATGTAAAGACACAGCCAGGTGCACACACACACACACACACACACACACACACACACACTGTTACATATCTAAAAACTGTTCATGTAACAAAACAATGTGGTTTTAACTACTAACTACATGTAGCTAGTGAACTTATCACGTTTAAAGGATTTATGAATGAAGTTGGTTTAGAGGAAGCAATGCTGTTATTATATTATATTATAATATAATATAATATAATATAATATAATACTCTCTAGTAAAGTTTAATTGTAATTGAAGTGTAATTGTTAGGCACATATTGTGTAGGTATAATCAGTAGTGTGTGTTTATGTGAAGGGTGGGGGTGGAGGGTTTCAAGTGCGTAGACACGTTTTTTTCCTTTTTCTATTTTTTTTGTTTTTTGACGTCACCTGAGCCCAATCAGCAGTGTTTGTGAGAGTGTTTCAAATGATTATTATTTCTTTAATGTTTAACTTTTGTATCATTATCATTAAAGTGCATCATACACACAGCATGGTACTGTAGGGGTTAGTGTCAGGTTAGTCTCAGGGGTCATATATAACAAAGCATGATGACACACACACACACACACACACGCACGCACACACACACACAAAGGCGGCCCGACAAAGAAGATTCTAGCTAAACAGAATATCTTAGACATTGTTACTATGAGCATAAAAATACTTATATATTATTAATACACACACACACACACACACACACACACACACACACACACACACACACATACACACACACACCTTTGTCACACACACAGCTCCAGTCTACCTGCTCTCTACAATAATGAGCCTCAGTGGGAGGAGAGAAAAAGAACAAGATGCTCTACAGTAACTGAAACAGATATCGCCTGTTTACAAAGCCGCCATTTTTATGTTGAATAAACCGCCACTCACCTGCCTTTCAACACAATAACACGAGCTTCCCGCTGCCTGGCTGCGGTATCGTGCGCTTATTGTTGTCGTCTGGTTTCTTGTGGCCGTCAGCGGCGGCACGACCCTCAAGTGAAGCAGGAAACGCTTCGCTTCCGAGAAAATGTCAAAAAATAAAGTCCCCTCGGCAGCTACATGGCGTATTAATGCTACATTATCGATGTCACACTGAAATAAAATAGTTAGACTGAATCATTAAAACCTTAACTGGACTGTTTGCAGTACGAAATAGGGAATAGTTTATAATATTGAAAGAATTTAATTTAATTTTGAAGGCAAGTCTTACACATTTCCGGTCAAAGTCTACATACTCCTGGGGAATTGACAAGTACCGAAGCTGTACATTACTACTATAGATTAGTATGGGTATTAAAGGGCCAGTGCGTTGATTTCTCTGTATTTCTTTATTTAATATAAATAATGTTGTCAACAATGAGAAAACAACCCATTGGCTGCCATAGTGATGTTGTCAGATATCTAGCCTAGATTTGGGCTTTGGACTATAATTCTTTAAAAGTTTGTGGACATCAACGAGGAAAGCAAGGTTTTAATATGAAAAACTCTCCCTTATGAGAAGCTGCCTGGGCCAAAACTGCATACTTCACTTGCACATACATATATACATACACATGATATGCACACATACACACATATACACACAAGTATGGGGGTGTATGAGTGTGAGTATGTATGTTATGATATTTGAATAGATACTTGCATGAACACATACACATTCTCGTACTATATAATGAAGTGAATACAAACATACTCACCAATATACCCCTATACTTATACACACACATTCTCACATTATGCATGCATGTGTATGTATGAGTTTATGAATATATACACACATATATATATATATATATATATATATATGTGTGTGTGTGTGTGTGTGCATGTATGTATGTACATGCATAACTGTATGTGTGTATATGCATGTATACATGTACGTATGCATGATAGTATGCATGTATCCGCAAGTGCTTGGTAGTGGTATATATGTATGTACAGGCGGCTTCTCATACTTCATTAATACTACTTCATTTTTAATTATACTGCCATAAACTTCCCTGGTAATGATCATCAGATATTGAAGTGTGGCATGTTGTTAAATTTAATTACCCAGGATGCGTAAACTCTAAACACAGAATCATTACATGAATCACCAAAGAAAAACAAATTTCAATCACACTGAAACGTTTTCATTAATTTATTCAGATATTACTTTTTACAGGAGCAACAGTAAAAGAAGACTTTTCTCCTCTAAACAGATGGTTCGACAGTAGAGGGACATTTATGCTCACGCACACACAGACACAGTTCCACCTTCTGATTAGTAGCACTAATCTCATATATATATATGTATATATATGTTTTTTTTTATTTCAATAATAAATTATGTATAAATATGTTGTAATCAGTAAGATGTGAGACAGTGACAAGAAAGACAGAGAGAGCTTGTATTCTGGCCAGTGATGGCCATTGGTTGGGGTTGGATTCAGGGGTTGGAGGTCAGAGGCACATGTCGGCCCCTCCAGGTGCATTGTGGGACACACTCAGAGGGAATGCCGGATGAAGAGGGAGAGGGCGGGCGGAGTCACCACATGTAGGAATCGTCATATCTGTGGAAAGACAAAAATGGAAGGAAGAACATGTAACTGCTTGTTTTTCTTTCTGTCTGTTGTACTCAGCTCTAACTCGCAAAAGAGGTCTTAATCTTAATCTAATACCTCATTAATTGAAGATTATAATGAACAAATGTTGTCATATGTGTTTACTATGTCTCACATGACTCCTTCAGTTCATGCATGCGAGGGTCTTTACCTTGACCTCTGGTCTCTGTTGCTGTCGGCACCAAACAGGAGCTCTGCGACCATGTCCTCCTGAGCTGAACGCTTTCCATACCTGAGACAGAGGTAAACAGATGTTTTAAATGTGTCTTACGTCAAACACCTTTTAATCCTGGTTTTTGATTCTATTCATGGTCGTACTTTTTCAGCAATAGCCATTCAATGTATCTTCATTCTATAATTACTTCTTTATAGGTTATAGTTGTCATTGTCAGTGGCTGAGTTCACCCTTCCTCTGGATTCAGATTGCGTTCACATACATAAGATGTTCACAGGAAAGAATGCATGAAGTGTAACTGTTTGTGATAGAGCTGTATGGAGTTAGTGCTAATGCTATTTTTTACATAACTCACTCTATTAAGTATTTAAGTATTTGTTTTATGGGCAAAATCAGTTCAGTTTCACTTTAAACAAATGAGTCTTTGGTTGAGATGGATGACAGCTGTTTGTCAAAATCAGGACTACTTTTCCCAGAACACATTGCTTCTCCTTAAAACCTTTGTGGGTCACAGCGTGAATGGAGCACAGAGGTTTTGTTGTATATTCTGATAAGATTCTCGTCTTCTTCTTGTCTCTCTCTCTGTCCGTCGTATGTGTCCTCTTCTTCGCTTCACTTGTTCCCCTCCCTTTGCTCCTAATGGTTTTCATTTCACAGTCACGTTCAGGCCGTGCATGCAGGAGAGTGTGTGTTTTAGTGCTGGTGTGTGTGCGCAGGTGTCATTTCCCAGTCTGCATGAGTCGTCCTCTTCTTCTTCTCTTAATAAGGAAACCAGGGATCCAAGAGAGTCGCAAATGGAAAACCACAGAGCCGTTCAAACACAAAGTTTACTTGGTAATGTGTGTGTGTGTGTGAGTGTGCATGAAACAGTGCTACTCAAGACAACCCTGCAGTTCCTCAGTTTTCCCATCAACCACCTGTTCCACTTCCCCCTATAACCCCAGCACCCAATTTTATGCTTTGTTACGCACAGGGGGAGGTGAGTGTGTGTCCCGCCCAGTAGGAAAGCAATCGAGTAGCTCACACGCTCCGGCTCATGAAGCTGTCACACAGTGCGACACATCAGCATGTGAAATGTTCTCCCCTCTGATAATGGCCGTCTGCACCCATATATCTCCCAGAGTCTCCCTGCTTGATCCTGCTTTTATTTTCTCTGTGTCTGTATGACTGTTTTCTCTCACTTTAACTCTTATCTGCTTTGTCTTTTTTCCCATCTGATTGTCTTTCTTTCATTCTTGCTCCCTCTATCCTAAAGTCAATTTACCTCCTTTTGTCTTTTGCTCTTTCAAATGTCGTCATGTTAATTGTTTTTAGAAGTTTGTGCCTCTCATCTCTTACCATTTCATCTGAGTCCCAGAGCTAAGCCCCAAAGATTCCTCTAACCACTGGGATGAAAAAATATTTTGTTTGCTGCTATCTCCTTTCTCTCTTTGTCAAACACAAGCAAAAATAATAACTTGATGTTTGTAAATGAAAAAATATAAAATACTGGAAAGCAACATTTATATAAAGGAAACCAGTATAACTGATGATAAAAGTTTTCTTTTTGTTCTGTATTGTACAAATAGAACAGGGAGATGTGTGACTTCAAGCTGCCATCTTTGTTTGAATTATGTAAAAGGGATGATGAAAATGAGTGAGAAATCTTTTTTATCTATCTTTTATCTTTTTATTGTGTCATCAAGATGGTGAGAAGTGTCTCAGGTTTCTGGAAAGAGCAGTATTAAGTATGCAAGTTTTGTTAAAAGATGGATGGATTTTGTTGCTGCTGTTTTGTTTTGTTTGCCATATAAGGTGCACAAACTGGGTGCTATTGAAAAAGTTAAGATGTTTTAAATCATTTGGATTTTTTTTTAGTTAACTTTTTAGTTATTTTTAATTTGTTTTCTTTCTTTATTCTTCTTTATTTAAATTTTCAAAAATTACAAAATGTGGATCAGTGCTATCAAGGAAGTTCCTCTTGAAAATCACCAGCTGTTATAAACTTAATATGACTAACTACACTCTGATTACATCACTCCTCTGAGGAAGGAAAGCTAAATTTCCAGAGAAAATACTGTGGACGTGACCTGAGTGGCAGCTACAGCTCTGATTTTCATGGCTTCAGTGAAGACACCAGTATATTTGTCCGGCTTCACAATGATATGAACGGCCATGTTTAGAGATAAACCAAAGACACTGGACTGCCCAGATCCATCATCTGTATCAGGGGTGCCTACAGCTGCCAGCCATCACATTCCCCGGCATTTTATTTGATGCAGCCAAATCTTTATATAACCACAGTTCTCTTCATCACATATGATATGTCTTCATTTGCAACTCTCCAGTGAAACGTAAGAACTTTCTACTTGAAACAAATCGACTTCCCGTGGCATTTGGCGTCTTCTTTAAACCAGACGTTTAAATATCAACAACCTATTTGACTTTCATGAATAAAAACTGATGAGCCCAACTGCTGCAAATCAAAAAATATGCCATTTGACTATTCCATACTGCCGACTTTTATACCTTAGAGCAGCAGGCTCAGCTAATTGGATTTGGGATTCTTTCTTGGATCCATCTGTACCGATTTTATTGCTCTGGTCCCGTTGATTTGGAGGCCTGGAGGTTTTGGAGAGTGGCCAGTAATCTAATCTACGGAGCTGCCGGTGTGAGCTGGTGAAGGGTTGGGGTGGTGTCGGAGGGGGGATGCACCGCACATCGACAGAGCTCAAGGCTTAAGTAGGAGCGGGAAACTCTCAAGGACTTGGTCGCTATAATGACTTGGATAAAACAAAATTGAATATGGGCTTAAGTAACAAATGGGAGGAGGCAGAACAGGCTAATCCAGTTCAACTGCTGCTACAATTGTATTATCTTAACACTTGAAAACCAGTTGGGGGAACAGTTCTTTCAATTCTTGGGGGATCCGCATTTAGTCCAAAGATGACACAACAGATGAACCTTCTTCTATCTTCACAAGAACCTTCCATAACTTTAAGATTTATCTTTGGGGCCGTATTAAACTATTAGGGAAGGAGGGGCTTCACAAAAGGATGAGGGTATTTTCATCTTTCTTTTGGCTAAATATGCAGCGAGGCCTTTTACTGGCAGTGGCCCTTTGCTACATGTCAAGGCAAAAAATGCCTCAAAAAATAACTTTAAAAAAGTGCACGGTTTACTAATTCACATTTATTA